GGGGTAAGAGAGCCTACCATCAGAGTGACGCCATACGGGTATCACTGTGATTGGTCCGCCATGTTTTAGCCTCTAGTTTTTTAAACGCATTATTTTCTAAATTTTGAATTTATGCTCAAAAATTGTGATAAATTAAAAAATGATATTAAATAAATATTGTATATAAAATAATAAAACTTTTACATATATTATTTATAATAAAATTTTATTTATAATATTTTTCTGAATTTTTGATTTCTTTTATATTATTACAGATGCATTTTGCTTCTAAAATGTAGGAACAGAGAATAGATAATAAACTAGCGCATTTAATAGCGCAAATAACAAAAATTGTGATAAATTAAAAAATGATATTAAATAAATATTGTATATAAAATAATAAAACTTTTACATATATTATTTATAATAAAATTTTATTTATAATATTTTTCTGAATTTTTGATTTCTTTTATATTATTACAGATGCATTTTGCTCCTAAAATGTAGGAACAGAGAATGGATAATAAACTAGCGCATTTAATAGCGCAAATAATGTGCAATAAATAACGTTTTGTATAAAGTAACGTGCAATATTACAAAATGTATAATACAATATTGCAATATTACAAAATAAATGAAATTTTGTAAATAATATATGTAAAAATTTTATTATTCTATATACAATATTTATTTATTATCATTTTAAATTTGTCACAATTTTTGAGCATGAATTCAAAATTCAGAAAATAATGCGTTTAAAGAACTAGAGGGAATGGCTAAAACATGGCGGACCAATTACAAGTGATACCCTTATGGCATCACTCTGATTTGTAGGTTCTCTATTGCCCATGAGCCAATTGCGCACAAACCAATCACAGCGCTAAAAAATATCCTTATGCAGAATTCACTGTGATTGACAGTGGGTCATTGCTGCAGTGTACAAGTGAATCGCTTCCCTAGCTAGCGATTAAAATTAAAAAAAAAAAACGTAAAAATTTGTATAGTGTCTAATCATAAATATTACGACTACAAGTCCTTGGTCATACATCATACATTTCAAATAAAAACATAGGCCTGTATTCAGAACTCGCTATTATCTTCAAAATTCTATAGCATGCGTAACATAAATTATAACATGTTAGCGCGCTAATATCGTTTTAAGCGCATTCTGAATACAGGTCATAATATATTTTCATTATGCATTTAAATGGAATAGATGAAAAATGTTGAACCAATCGCAAACCGAGAATGTGAACTCTGATTGGAGAGACACTAATTTCGAGATACACAATCCACCTCCAGTGATTCCTGTTTATCTAGTGCAAGAATAAAGAACAGACCGCACTGATCGAGATATCGATGAAATTATTCCTTTCACACGTTTTCCCGCGGATTTCGTTAGGATAGTGTGCTGTGTGGTATAAAATTGGCGGTATGTTATTTATGTTATTTAATGTGACGTTTATTGAAATGTGAAAATTGCATTCTTTCAATTCATAATTTTTTCTACACGTCTTCGTTGTTCATGCGACGTTATATTCTTCGCGAAATTAGCCGAATTGTCTTGGCGAATTGTTCTCGTTTAGGTTATAGCGACAAGCTCGCACTGACAGTTCTAATTGTTTTATATAGTAATAACATAATTGAGGAATGTTAAAAATATTGTGATATTTTAAAAACAAGATAAATTCATGACAATTCAATAACCATTTAGCGAAAACGCGCAGTCTTATTTTTGTTAACTTCAACATTCTTTATAAAAACAAAAAACTCCAAAGTTTGTGGTTACTTTCCATTTGGTGACAAGTGAGACAAATCGACACGAATGTCGTTCTGTTTGCAAAATCTAATAAATGTACTCTTTGTTTCTTGCTATTTACTACTTTTTAAACCTATTCTGCAAAGTGCTTTTGTTTCTTGTTTCTTTTTCCTATTTTTTAATATTTTGTCTTTTTGTCTCTTATCCCGTTTTTCATTTTTTATCGCTCGAGATAAAAATTAACTTCGAAAGAACTAAGAAATACAATAAGTCAAGAAGGAAAAAGGCAAGGTTATGAGGTAAAAAGCAAGAAACAGGAAACAAAGAACACACTGTAGACCAGGCTTTACTCATTAAATATCAAGAAAGATAGAATGATGAATGTATCGATTTGTGTCACTAAATAGAAAGCATCCTATATGTACCAGATTTAACAAATAAAAAGTATGGACGGTTCAATGGAAGACAGTGATTGTATGATACAAGAAGTAACACCAAAGAAAAAAAAGAAAATGAGACAAGGTAATTTGATTTTTTTGTAAATATATTGCATACATTTAAATAAATTTGTTTGTGTTGCTTGTATTTTTTGCATTCTGCATCTTTGCATTCTCTCTTTTCAATATATATTTTTCATGTTTTAAGTATCTAAATATATAATATATTTATTGAGTGTAAAAAATTTTTTGGGAATTTAAGCAATGCAAACAAACCTATGGTGTATATGTTGTAATATTTATGTTTACATAGTCCAAATATTTATTAGTTATACAATTATTTCATTATTTTAGCACAACTACCATTTCAAATATTTAGTTCCTCTAAATCACCAAACAGTACAGATAATGAGTCTAACACGAAGAAGAGGAAAATAAAGTCGCCTTTGGTAGGATCTAAGAGCTCTAAAGTGTTAAAACTTGCAGCAACAGAGAATTCGGTCAGAAAAGTACCTGAGAAGAAAAGAGAAGATGCAAGCGAGAAAAAGCTTAATGTTAGCAATGATATTGAAATAATATTAGATGAAGAAAAGGAAGATCTCGAGCAAAGTGATCAGCAAGATACCAGGAAAATCGATAGTACATCGAAAAGAAGCACCCCAGGAAAAAATAAGAAACTGGATAAATCTCAACAAAAACCTGGTGCCTTAACTAAGTTTCTAAAAAAAACAGACAAGGAGATTGAAAAAAGTGACCATGTCGATAATTTACCTGAACAAAAAGATAGTAATCATGATAATAATTTACTTGAATTAAAAGATAAGAAAGACTGTCAAAATATATCTGTACATAAGGAATCAAATGAAGTCTGTATGAATGAAAGCTTAAACTCACAATGTATTCGATCTGAATTAGATACGTCTCAACTAAGTGAAATAGATGATAGTATTGTTAATAAGGATACAGATTTTTCTCTTCAGAAAACGAACTGTGATATTACTATTTTATCTTCGGATAACGAGGCTTCGAGCGAGTTAGATACATCAATATCGAATAGAAATAAAGAAACTGACAAACTTGCATCTCCTGTTACTCCAAAAACTGATAAAGATATTAAGAAGAATAAAATTAAAAAATTAACACCAAAACAATTGCAAAAGAGACAAGAAATTATCAAAAGAAAGGAAGAGAAGCAGAAATTAAAAATGGTATGTAAATAGAAGAGATGTACATTTTATTTTTGTTCACTTATAAAATAATATTGTTCATTTTTAAATTGATGAGATTGTATTGTACATATGCATATCAATTCATTTATATTTCTTATATACTAGGAAAAAGAAAAAAGACGGGAGAAGGAAAAAGCAAATCGGCGAATGGAGAAAGAAGAGAAGCAGAGAGAAAAAGAAGAAAAAGAGAGAATTGAAAAAGAACAAAAGAAAAAGGAAAAAGAATTAAAAGAACTTAAAAAACAAATGGAGATCGAGTAAGAACAATTGTATAATACTTTACTATGCATTTTGTGTTGTACACTTTCCTTTATATTAAAAAATCATTTATTTCTAGACAAAAACAAAAAGAAAAGGAAGCGAAAGAAGAAGAACGGAAAAAGCGAGAAGAAGAGAAAAAAAGGAAAGAAGAGGAACGACTGGAAGCCGAACGCAAGAAACAGAAAGCTGCCTCGAATTTTGCGAGCTTTTTTGTTTCTAAAAAACAGGAGGTTAAATCAGTGGAGGAAGAAAGTGTTATTGGAGTGAAAAATTTTATGCCTTTTGAAATAAAGGCCGACATGAGAATCGCACCGATTTGTCGAAGGAAGTTGACTGAACATGATAAATTATTGTTTGATAATAAGTGTAACGTAGATTTAGATAAAATTGAATTATATCTCGAAGATATTAAAAAAGGAAGAATAGTGCCACGTACTTCCTCCAAAACGTGGCCGTTGGAAACAAAAGAAGATGAAATTATTCTACTAGGTAAAAATCACGTTTATGATATATAATTAATACAATTTCTTAATACAATTTGTAAAATATTTTAATGAATTTAATTGATTATGCAGATGATGACAATGACGGCAGTTCCAACATTATAACGAACACGCATAACTTGGAAAAGCACCGGCCGAAATTACTGCAATTCAACGAAAATCGTCGTCCTCCTTATTGGGGTACATGGCGAAAACGAAGTAGCATCATAAATTCTCGGCGGCCATTTGCAAAAGACAAGGTAAGAATTAATAATAATATGATTTCTACAAATGTTCTTTAATGCAATTATTTATTTCGAAATGTTAATTATTGAATATTAAAATAGACAGTATTCGTACACAAATATCTTCGATAATTACGATTGTATTAACAATTTTAATTGTTAATTTTTATAAAGAACATTTTAAATGATGTGAAACATACGAAAAATAAGATATAAAATGATGCATTTTTTCCGTAATTTTATTCTATACGACGTTGATAACAATTTTTTATCAATGTTAACTGCCGCCAATAAAGACTAGTCGCACTAATACTAGGTTGAGTGAATCTCATGTAATTTCGGTTTATTACACTAATTTTGCTTTCTGGTATTCGAAAAAAATTTCTGGCGTTATCTTAATTATATAATCTCTTGATTATCTTAACTAATTTATGATACTATTTCATTAGAATTAATACTAGTGATTCTTTAATAGAGAATACAAATAAGTGTATTATAACTTCAAGGAAAATTAGCCGCCGAAAATATAAAAAAAACTAATCTACATCATTAAATTGGCAGAAATTATCTTGTTATCTTTATATAGATCAGTTTAAGTATTTTATTTGTCGATTATGTAAAAATTATGTCGTAGATGTTTCGTGTCCTAGTGATAAACTTTGGTTTGCTTTCTTAATTAAAAAGTAATTTTAAAAGACGAGAGGAGTCTTAGATTTCTGATGGTAAAACATTTATCTTGCCGCTACGTAGTCCTCTAGCCCCGTGAAACAATGGGTAGGCATTTTTCCGGTGCACTTTACGGTGCTTGGCCAGATGATCGCTTCGTGCAAATTTTTTCAAGCAAATCTCGCACGAGTACGGTTTAATGCCCGAATGCGATCGTCGGTGCCTCGCCAGCTCATCCGATCGACTGAAACGCCATACGCAACCGGTCCAAGTGCACGCGAACGGTTTCTCGCCAGTATGTCGACGTAAATGAGCTTTCAAATGAGATGCTTTGGCGTATACCTAAAATGAAAAGAAATAAATATTATATTTTAACTAGGACTCAATTTTTAAGAGAGCTCTTCTTAAGAGAGAGTCAATCTAAAATTCATTAATCTTTCAGAAAAACTCGATTATGATATAAAGATGATTTTAGTCACAGATTGTAATTTTTATTTTTTAAAAGATTACACGGAAAGAATGGTTTTGCTGAAAATAATTTTGTTAAGTCATTAAAATAATTATATAAAACACTTAAGCATTGATGACAATGCTGTAAAAAGTTTTAACATTCCAACAATTAGTTTGTTGAACAACGTTCTGCATAATTCTTTTGGTGGTCGAAACAAAATTATTTTCAGATCTTTAGCTAATTAAATTTTTAGATACTTCAGCAGAATTGTTCTTTCCGTATATTAAATATGAATTAACTAATAATATAGCTGACAAATAAATCTCGTAAAGTCTCAAGATTACTTTTAGACATCCTTGATAAGTACATGGGAAGCATCGATCTTCGGACGCATTTGCTAAACTACGATTAGTATAATCGTGGGTTGCTAAAGCGGCAGTAGCTGCTGATGAGATTAGGAGATTGTTGTTTAACTGGTTGTTGTTATAATCTGCAATTAAGATTTTAATTGTCTTCATGTATAATTATTAAGATAATAATTTAATTAGTATAATCTTAATATTTTAAACAATATTGTCTCATTATTCTCTTCTTTTCATGTCGCAATCGAAAAATCCTCATCACTTGAATGCTAACGTTATTTTGGTCTTAAAATGTACATCCTGTACCTATCGTATTTGTTCCTAATGTGTTCTCCAATGCTCGTAAATCGATGCCGAGTACTAGTAATGGTTCCTCATATTGCGGCATCTGTTGCGGATTCGATAGAGGCGGTAGATGCAAAAATCCTTCGCATCCTGCAGTGCACAATGGTGTTCTTTCCGGAAGACCGAAGTCCCAGCTCTTCTCTAGACACCAGTCCAGCTCTGAATCCAATTCACCCAATTCGCTAAAATAACCTGTGATTATTAAGCATACATTTTAAGAAAAGTTTGTTTGTATTAGAAGATTCTCGGAACATAAAATCTAGAATTTTTTTCTAATGAAAGTCTAAGCAGATCTCACAATAAATGAGAATAACGTTGCATTATGTTGAACTTAGTTGCAGTCTAGTTTTATATATTATATATATATATATATATATATATATATATAACCTGACAATGTAGGAGTATTGGTAGTCGACCAATCGTTCCAAGATGATTGCGGAGAACAAGTTAAGTCAGTATAGCAATCTGTCGGATTTATTATGTTTAATTGATTGTCGAATATTCCGAAGTCGTCGCTGAGTGTACTCGAGATTTCGTAATCGCTAGGTAGATTCGTCTTGGTCGGGGAAAATAGCTGTCTCTCGATGTTGGTGTCCGTTGTGAAGCCAAGGGCGGAGAACAGTTGCTCGTCCGTCATCTGTAGATATATATATATATTTTTTTAATTGTTTTCTAAATTTATAAATATTGACACGTGAATCAACACACATTAACGACAGTTTTGATAAGTATTTATCCCGTTTATCTCAGGTTTATTCTAGTAAGTTTATCCCAGTTTTATCCCGTTCTTAAACAAATTGTAGAATTTAATTGATGCAACAAAGTAGATAACGTAAAAAACGGTTGTGTCAAAATATTTAAAAATTTAGCTAGATATAGATCTGAAAGCAATTTTATGAAGCTATCAAAATAATTTTGTAAGAAGCTGAAGCTGATTGCTAAACTGTAAACTTTGCAGCATTGTTCATTATGTTTGAGCGTTCTGTGTAATTATTTTGATGGTCCAATAAAATTATATTTTCAGATTTGTATCTACCTAAATTTTTAGATATTTTAACAAAATCATTCTTTCCATATGCATGCAGTATGATATTGTTAAACGTAAAGTACACGTCGCATAGTTATGCAATTAAATACATTACGTTGTGTTGTGTACTCACATCGAACGTCGTAGCTTCCTCGATCATGATACCGAGAAATTAAATTAAAACTAGGTTGCAGCTGATCTCAAAAAACGTGCTTTTCATACAAGTTGACGATTATACGCAACAAAGACTTTCAGAATAATTCCTGACGTTTACATGATTGCTCCTAAGATTGACTCAATTGTCAATCGTGTTTCCCAATATCAATATAAGATTCTATTTATTGATCCGCATCATTATTCACGTGAATCTAACAAAGATAGATTTTTATTTGCGGTATATTTAGCACAATAAGAAGACTAAGAACCGCTTGTATTAGATTATAATCACAATCTTATGCGATTTGTCTCTTTAAAATTGAGATGTAATAGCGAGCGTAATTATGAGTATTCTAAGAAATGTACGATGCCACGTCTGCAATTTTTCTTTTCATGTTCAAGAGACTTTGAGGTCTTTAAAATACAGAACTACGATAAAAACTGGTAACAAAACGTCGTAGAGTGCAAGATACACCTTCAAAATTTCGCGCGCGTCCGAATGTTGCGAAAGAGAAGAGACATGGAATCGAAAACACCGATCCACTCGTCACGACCGATCGGTAGTCGTGTCAATACTGCAACTGGTAGTCTGGTGGAATCCTCCAGGCAAGAGGACGTCGACGAGACCGTATGACGAGAGAGTGTGTGGCGTATGGGTCTCCAGTTTGAGATAAGGATGCTGGCTTGTGCCACCCAGCGCCGTCACCGTGTCGATCCCCAGGGACCTTGCGATCGTACACGTCGCGTCGCCAGCTCGTCCCAGAACATCGAGAAAGAACACCGGCACCACCATTCTCAACGGCAATTCGTCGTTATTTTATAACCCCCTTCTGGTCCGCATTAGGGATGGGATTAAGTATTTCACAACAACCGCGAATTTCCTTTACAGTTATTTGAAAAATTTTTGTTTAAGTTTAAGGTCAAAAGACCATAAATCATGTTGAAAGATTTCTATCTGACAGAAGATAAAATGTCAAAATAGATAAGAGCACCAAAATATAGTTCTAGAAGGACAGATATAACAACAAATTCTTCAGAAGTTTGAGAAAAGGGACAGTTACAATAATTAAAAATATTCAGGAAATATTACATAGGAAAACTTGATCTATTTTAAAGCTCTTTATAACAACTTCACATCATATTTAAATAATCAGTAATGATGATGATTAGTACTATTGATTAAGAAAAGTTAATGTTTTCCAGATTCTCAGATTTTGATATTACTCGATTTGATTTCTCTTGTCAAGTTTTCAAATCCTGTGACAGCTACTTATAGTTACTTATAGGAATTAAAAAAAATAATTCTTTTTATAATAAACTAAGCAATCGTTTTTGCGATCATCACTTGAGTCTTATGAAACTCGGTTGTTGAAATTGGCTCGCGACTCGATACAATCGATACACATCGAACTTGATTTCCTCCCTCCCGATCGGGCAGTTAGCCCGCTTATTTACGGTCCCTCGAGATGCAAATTAATCGGCAGCGCGCCGGATAATCGCGATGCTGGCTATCAGAGTTGATTTCACCAAACGAATCGCGTTCACTGCCACACAGATTGGGGAAAGAGGGAAAGATAGAAGACCCCCTCTCTCTCTCTCTTTCTTTCTCTTGTCTTCGAGGATATCTCGAGGATGCTTTCGCACTGTCGTGCACGTGGCTGCTATAAATACATTGACAATTTCGATTTATGATATAATTTGAAGAGAGCAGACTGCTGGATTCTTTCCGATCAGTCGCATGTACATGGACAGAAATATCTCGGAATATTATAACGCTAAGCATATTAAAAAAATTTTCAACAGTCGGACGGCTTTGCTTAGATTATAAGTTGTTGCTGTAAAAATTTGCAAAAATGTTTAGAAACTACATGTGGATTTTGAAATGTATATTAGCTGCACGCTTAGCAGAAAAAATATCTTTACAACTGTTATAAAATTCTTCAATATAATTGATCTTGCCCTTAGTCTCTCACTGGATCTAAATCAATTGGATATACAAATCAATTTTATTAAATCAATCTTATGACAATTGCAAAGTTGTTGTCTCTGTTGAACCATTGTTATATTTGTTATAAGGGATTCAGTGACCTCAGGGAAGTTCATAGGGTTCATTGAACCCTATAGAATAATCTTGAAATTTAATGTATTTAAAAAAATTCCTAGAAAATTCTTGGAATTTAGGATGCTATTTATGATAAGATTCGTTACAAATGGAAACAATGCAAGCAGCTTTGAGATTATGAAATCTATGATCCATTTTACTCGCAATGTGTATACCCGCAATGTGACATGGTAAAACTTTATAAGCAAGTGCAGACATTGAAAATCAGATTAATAATTTAATTTTTCTATGTACGAACGAGACATCGTTTTTCTCGAATGCTTCCAATCATTCAAAACATCCCATATTTATCAAGATTCGAATTTTTTCTTGCGTAAAAATCAATGTTTAATTTATAACCCTATATCGAATTAAGCTGAACATAATGCATTATTATAATCTATCGGATAATTTTTCATGCATTCAAATTGTTATATAATTATATAACCGATAATTATATTTTTTTTTATTTCCATTCTCCTAATAGTAATCAAAAATTTTTTTATTCATATTAGATTAACCGATTTGAAATTGAATTGAAGAAATACTTTCGTTTATTTACGAGAAATAGTTTGAATCGCAAAAGAAGCCAGAAAAGTTAGAAATAAATGTTTTTTCGCGAAATAGAAATAAAAAGAGTTAAAAATAAATTTTTTAAAAATTCTTTCAAAGATTTTAGAATTTTTTACTAGAATTGGAACACGTATGCAGATATTTATATTGTTTTTACATTATTGCGTACATTTATTAAACATTGCAAAAGCTTAGAATGCATAGGTACATGACCGAGATATTATCTTTTCTAAACGTTTCCAAGATATCTCATGTTCGAAAATATTTAAGATCTATACAAGACACATAGTGTCTTTGTTATTATCTAAGTTATTATTCAAAATTCGAATTCCCTCTCGTGTAGAAACTAATATTAAGAAATAAAAATCTTTTTGTAGATTTTTGTAGAATTTTTTTCAGCGATTGTTCATAGAATTAAATTAAAATTTTTGTTCTCTTGTATAAACATTTGTATCATATTTTTTACATGTTAAATATCATATAATTCGAAATTATTGATTACATTACTAATCGACAATAATTTTGTTAAATGGATTATTTTGATTTATTTTTTTTTTACGTATTTTTTTATGTTTATTCTGAAAATGAGATTAGAATTTATCCTACGGTACCAATTTTTTACAACCGACGTATATCTTTATAAAAATTTACACATTTTGCTAATATATCGTTGTATGAAATCTTTTTCTTAATTATTTCTCTTTCTGTTCTAAAGCTTTTTATAAGTAGAAAATTTATATTAAATTTAGCTATTTCCTATGAATTATTTATTTATATTTAAACAGCACAGATATACGTAAACGGAATTTTTTAATTTTTGCATGTTCCCGAAGAATTCTGCTTTCCTCATTTTCGTAGATAGATTTGAAATTAGTGCAAAAAGTACTATGAGAGATCTTAACTGATCAGTTTAACATATAAGAAAAGTGAAATTTTGTTGATCAGTGTTATTGATGAGAAGTATCATTATGATAGAATATCCGAATTTACATTGGTTGTTTTCCGATTTGTCGGTAATATTGGCTGCGAGCCATTGAACCGGATGGAATCTTTCCTAATTATATTACCGTCGAGAAGGAAAAGAACGAATCTCAAGTCCGATGATCTCGCATGCAACGCGTTATGTTTCACTGATGGCATTGACCTAGAACGCAACTCGGGACCCGATAAAGGTGTCTCACCCGAGAGCCACCGCTATTAGGAGTTCATTCGATCGTTTATCAGTGCGAGGTTGACCTTAGATATATAACATTGCATGTATTGTTGCTCATTTGATGAGCTTAAAATCGCATTTGGTCGGAAAATAATATAGGTAAAATTAATCCGACATCCGACTATAAGAAGATTCTTTAGACTTTGTTTCTTTTGGTGTATTTTTGATTCGTTTCCGATTAATCTTGATGCAATTGTGAAGTAATTAAAGAAAGTGAAAATGTGAATCTTTGTACAATTCGCAAATAATCTGTCTATAATGTTCTGTATAGTAGAGACCGGTTGTCACAGTTTTAAATAATGGTTTTTGTAGAGAATAATGAATGTAAGATTTTAATTACTATATATGTTATATAACATATCTATCCTTTAGATATTAACCAATTTATCGAAGTGATGTACTTGAAATTAATGTTTTCAGCCAAAACTGGTGAAAATGAACAATTTCGTATTTTACATAGAATGTATCCAGTATAAGGATTTTTTTTTTAGATCGCTGGTGATGAAAGGTCAAAATTTTAAAAGTAACATGACGGTCAAAAAAATATTTGTGTGGTACTTCTTTTTCGTTTATATGAATTATTACTATTAAACTGATTAACAAGAAAAGATCCCTGTTGAAAAAACTAGTTTAGTAAAAAATCAAAATAGTATAATAATATTTTATATGGATATAACGTACACACACACACACACACACACACACACACACATAGTTTTTATGTTAATTCTATATTTCATGAAATAATAGTAATATAAAATAGTTATTTTAATCATAAATAATACATAATTTGTTTTCGTGTTATAGTTTCTATACGAAAAATGAAAAATATGTCTATATGAAATATTATATTCATAAATATATTCTCTAAAAACATGTTGATTTAAAGAGATTAAAATTGACTGTCACCTGATCCCGGCTCATTTTGGGTCAATCTATCTCGTATGGCTATTTTTGATAAGAGATTGTATTTATAAACTTTGTTAAATATATAATATATATTAAATACAACAATGATTAATTAATTTACAGTAAAAATTATTTAAGACATATCATTTTCTACTATTATAGAAAATCGCGATTAATAATATCAAAAACGAATTGAAAAACAAAATAGGTGAGAAAAATTTATTCACTAACTTTATTTTTTTAAAAAAAAGTCATTGTTAATAATATTTACACGACACTTTCGGCATAAACCATTTTATATAATTTAATTTAATATTGTATCCACAATTTATAATAAAAAAAAAGAAAAAAATACTTTGCCTTATATTGATTGAGTTATAAGCTTTTCGACAATTAATTCCATTTGACAATCGGCCACTATTCCCTATTTTAATACATCATTCTATAAAAATTGATAAGCGCAGAAATTTAAATAAAAGGCAAAGTATTCTTTTCTTTTTTTTTAATTATAAATTGCGGATACAATATTAAATTAAATTATATAAAATGGTTTATGCCGAAAGTGTCGTGTAAATATTATTAACAA